GCGGCTCGGGTCCCAATTGAGTGGGGGTGCCCTAAGGTGTTATTACGGCATATGGGTGGCACATTTGGCCCAGTAGATTGGGAGCAAATCTTTGTTTGTAAATAGCCTTGCTCAACGGGGAAATACTGGTCTCCCCGCTTCTGTGTTGCCTTATCTGTTTGCCAGCCACAATCTAAGGTTCCTGAAGATCCAAGTCGGTACGTGCACATTTATTCGTCCATATCACTCGATAAAACATCGATTAAAGCCATATCGTTGGGTCCTAGGTTTTGCTGTCCTCACCAGAAACCTAACCAGCTAGAGTAAGAAACACGACTTGAGAACCTTTTGAATCAAACACGTGACATTCAGCCAGTTTTGACAGAGAGCGTACAACATCTTAAGTCTGCGTTATTCAATTGCTCTTATCAATACCTGAACAGTCGTAAGAAATATCAGGGCTTGCTGAAGAAGTCACACGTTGAGAAGTTAAAGCAACTCCGACGGAACAAAAACGTTCTGATAACTAGGCCAGATAAGGGAACTGGCGTTGTTTTGATGGACACGGTGGACTATACTAAAAAATCCAGTCAATTCTGTTGGATAAGGAAAAGTTCAGAAATACTGAGAAGGACCGTACAGATGAGATTCAAGCACAACTGACTGGCTGCTTGAAAAGACTTCAGGAGGATGGTTGTATAAGCGAACATGACGTAGAGCGCCTCCGACCCATCGTTACGCATATACCTCGATCAAATGGCTTGCCGAAGATCCCCAAAGATGGCGCACCGGTTTGTTCAATCCTTGATATCAGGAACTTGACGTAGCATGCAGTAGCGAGATGGCTGGCGGATAAACTTATGCCCCTACAGCATCAACTAGCGCCACATAGTTATCGAGATACTTTTGAATTCATTAACGGCGTGAAGGACCTCGATTTGAACGAAATGGTTATGTTTTCGTTAGATATCCCATCCCTTTTTACGAACGTACCGGTAACGGAAACGGTCAACTACCTTTGTGATTTCATTTCCGACAATCAACAGGATATAGGAATGCCAGTGAATGCCTTCAAGGAATTGTTACTGAGGTGTACCTTGAACGTACAGTTCCTATTCGACAGCAATATATATAGGCAGATAGACGGCGTAGCTATGGGCTCGCCCCTTGGCCCGCTTTTGGCGAATATATTTTCATGGAAAAGTTAGAAGCTTTCCAGCTACGTCACCAGATTAACTGTTTAAGATACTATGGGCGGTAGGTGGGTGATATATTCGCAATTGAACCGGAACAAAGCGACATCTCAATTCTGCTGGATGACATGAATCAGGCGCACCCATCAATAAAATTCACTCTGGAAGAAGAACGGTCCGGTTCACTTCACTTTCTGGACGCGCTTCTGAGTAGAAGGCCTGGCGGCAGCATTCGACGCAGCGTCTATCGTAAGAAAAAGTGGTCCGGACAATACACCCGCTAAGCGTTAAACGTAATTTAGTCCGCTGCTTGATAGAGAGAGTGAGAAGAATCTGCTCAGCTGATAGCGTTGAAAAAGAGCTTAAAATCATCGAAAGCCTTTTTCGCCACAACGGGTATCCTGGTGGATTCATTGCTAAGAACACGGCTAAAAGACTATAAAAGGCCCCGATACTGACGGCAGTAAAGAAAAGGCTCTTCATCAGGATCCCACTTCAAGGTGATGCACCAGGTGAACTCTTAAGAAGACACCTAACTCAAGCTGTATCACAGACGTTTTCAGCAGCTGACCCCCGTGTGCTGTTTTCCACCAGTCCCATCCTATACGGAGAGGACAAGGACACACTACTAGCTCAGACACCTCTATGTGTATTTACTCCTTTGCCTGTTACAGTGGGGCAAAATATATTGGTTGAACGAACCGGCGTTTATCCAAAATAATAAGAGAACATATTCCAGCATGGTTAGGAAAGGGTCAAATAAAGAACATCAACAGCTCGATCCTCGCGCACATGGTAGACACAGATCATCGTGTAGACGCCAGGGACCTTCAGAGTGATTTACAAGGTCCCATAAAGCTATCCAAAACTACTTGGGCAGCGCTTGTTGGCTACGGCAGAGGCGGCTGCAATAAGGCTACGCGGACTGGTCCTATGCGCACAGAAGAACTTCATACAGGTCCCACGGTTGCCATGACTCAAAGCCAAGCCAGCCACCCGCATGTAATTACCTCCGCCGGGACCCGCCTTCTCCCTGGCGCTGACTGGAATTGTGGTGTTTCACTCTCCCCCTTCCATTCCCTCCCAAACCCGATCTGCTTGTCCGTATCTTTTAATCCCTTACTTCAATAGCCATATAAATGTACATGCCTGAAGATAATTTATCGAAAGCAGACGTATGCTCGCCAAATTGCCCTTTGAATTTTACAATGGGAATTTTTGCAACTCTAAAACGCTAGTTTTTCTCAGGAATGCGAAATGTGCCATGTAGATGCAGATACTTATAAAAATGTACGTTTCCTGCTCATAAACGCCGGGTGATCTGCAGTAGTCGGTAAAGCCAGCTAGTTGCTAGATTGTGCTACTTCTTTCGGTCATCCGGTAACTGAGCACACGCGAACCTGGAGTCAGACAACGAACCCTCTCAAGGTGCCCACCTGTCTGGTGTGAAATAAAGAGGACGAAAGGCTCGTCGTGATTTCATTTTTACCACACCCAGTATTCTAAGGGTTCTCATTATAGGGTCTGCCTGTGCCAGGAAACTGCCAGTGAAGAATGCGCAGCTGGCATCCTGAGTACAGCCCCCTTGCGGAAAGTTCTAGGGAACCGCAGTCGAGCGGACCCACGACGGTATTCGTCTCCCAAGGTAAACATCGTTCTCGACTTAGTCCAATCTTTGCTTTCACCGAAAGGAGAAGCGTCCAACCGTATAGGCGCCAATAAAGAAAACGAGATCGGTTCCAAACAAATTACTACTGCTCCAAACGGGCTTTGATGGAATTACCGAAGAAAGTAGTCTTCGGTTCAGAGGATGTGTATCAACAGGCACACGGCGGACCCCATCATGGAGACTGTCCGTTCAGTGACGAAGCATACTGAGGGGGTGAAATTGCCGTTCTACGCAATCGTGTTTGTAAATGTATGGGACTAGTGCGTTTGACCACCTCAGCAATCCAGGCACCACCCCAATATTGTCATTCTCTATTATGGCGGCCAACCAAAGGCCACGCCAGGGTATGGAGGTGAGCAATCCGAGATCGCTTGTAGGATTCAGTACCGCAATTTCCCTTGTACTTACGAGCGCGCGCACACGGTGCAGAAGGGAACCGCGTTATAGTAGCCGCAGACAGCCCGAAGCCAAGAGGGGGAGTAAATTCCGCTGACAAAGCGTGACAGGCAGAGCGCCACCTGTCGCCCGAACTTTTGACAACTGCCATAACATAGCGTACCAATCCGTCTCACACCAGTCACGCACTACACTCAGCCAGGTTCAGTTTTTGGGTAAGGATGCATGAGTTGTTTATCCATTATTCCTTAGCAATCAATTGCGATGGACTCCCGGCAGGCATCTGGGGGGCTCAGGAAAATATTAGTAGCCTCCGAGATTGACCTTTCTTCTTAATGTCCGTGGGTTTTCGCTGTTTCTAGAGTAGGATTATGAGCACACGAATAAAGATTAAGCCTTCTCGACCTTTGGTCGGAAATCAACTTTATTCCATCGCACTTTTCCCAAGTTCTCGAATAAAAACCTTACCTTTTAAACCCCATAATAAACACAAAGTGGTATGCTGCCAACAATGTTTTCCACATTAAAAAGTACGATTAACAAAGAAACTCTGTGTAAGAGATCTTAAATGCTGTACATATCAAAAATAGCACATTCTTCTAGCAACAAAAGCATGAATGAAAGGTCGACAGTTAGGATGTTTCGTTTTCACCCGTCGAATTTTGTAGTTGGTGCAGTGGCGAGATAGGTCTCGGATTGTTTCCCTCATTTAGCGATTTCTCAACAACAACATTTTGACAAGTATCGTGGTTCTCATCTTGACCAAGGGCTAAGTCTTTAGGGAGCTGCTTCTCTGTGCCCTCCTCCATTACGTCCTCATCGTCATCCTCCTCCTCGTCCGGTTCCTCCTCCTCTTGATCGCTGTGTATAGGTTCATTGGGAACTAAGGAGTTAGCATCGACGTCCTCTTCTTCCTTTTGCTCAGGCTCCGGGCATCCGTCTAGGAGACCGTCTCCCCAATCGATCGGAAACCTAGTGACTCGGGGGTCGGTGGCGATGATATTCCTCTCAAGCTGAAGATATCGAGAACAGCAATTTCAAAATAATACTAGAACAGCAAATAAACAAACGAGCAACATTTCGATCGTTCGCCCCGAGCTTTTGTGTTCACTACGAATTCTACGAATAGAGGTTCGTGCGGTGTCTCAATGTGCGGATACAGTGCGGGCAAGGAAAGTGTGCATGGTGGGTGTATGTAGAGACCGCGCACTGGTTATGCAGTCAAGAGGCGGGGGATTCGCAGTGACTTACCAGGCCGGCACATAAGCGAAATGTACAGTCGCAATATGGACAGGTTGAAACCGCGTCCGCATTGCCGTTGATGATTATGAACATAGTTATTATAGCAGTGGTTGTGGTGACGGTGACGACTGTGGTAGGAGTGGTCGAAGTTACCGTTGCCGTAACTCATGCCGGAGTTGCCGTTGAGTGGAATGATAACGTCAGACCATAACAAGCCGGAACCGGGACGCGGTGTTGCAGCAATGAGAGAAAGAGCGTGTAACTTCCATGATGTGTCTGGTGGTGGTGGTGGTGGTGGTGGTGGTGGTGGTGGTGGTGGTGGTGGTGGTGGTGGTGGTGGTGGTGGTGGTAGTGGTGGTTACTAGTGTGTCCTAGGTTAGTTGAGTTGGTTGTCACGACAACGAACCCGGACGTGACCGACAAGTCCGATTCGTGTGCTGAATGTCAGCTGACAATGTGGTAGGCCGTCAGTCACTGCCGGCCGACATTGTTGATACGCAGCATCTGAGTTTTTTGACCTTGTAATTGTACTTGGTATGGCTGCGATCATGCCTGATCTAGCCAGCCTCGATGATGCTCCGAACTGTACCTCTCCAAGCGTAACGATCCAGGGCAGCAGATGTGGACAACTCAGTTCATTCTCTTTACCAGCGACGAAGGCTGAATACCGCAGGTCCAAGAACCACTTCCGTATCTTGAAGAACTGTGTCGAGTCAGCTTTTTAAATGACCGCTTCTTCGACGCGTCCAATAGAGAAACAGTACTGCATCGAGAGTAGTAATGTTGAACTCCTGAGGTGGACGACGAAGAACATGTCCAAATCACCTCAGTCGCCTTTCTTCGGTGGCTTGGGTTATCCTTGCAATGTTGTCGCAGCGAGCGCGGACTATCTCATTTGAGACGAAGTTGGTGCACTTCCCTCGAAGGGTGGTCCTCAAGCAGTGATGGTCAAATACCTCCAGTTTTCGCTCGTCCTCCACGCGCACAGCGCGGCATTCACAACTATAGAGAGGGACAGACCGGACAGATGTACGGTACACGCGAATCTTAGTGGCGATGGAGAGGTCACGTGGGATCCATAGGCATTTTCTAAGGCTTGAAAAAAAAACCTTCGGGCAGCATCAATGCAGGAGACAATGTCATCCTAACTCGAGCTATTCGGCAGCAGCCTTGCCCCGAGGTATTTAAAACTTTCTACTTCAAGTCGACAGCCATCAATCCCGAGGGATGCCCTCTCCTGGTCAGGGATGCAGCTTGAAAATACTTTAGCCTTCCCAGTGTTTATGGATAAACCGACGGATTTAACGACCTCGTTCACCCGTGACACCAGACTGCAGGTCACAAAAATTTGAAGCAATTAAGGTAATATCATCGGCATAGTCGAGATCAGTCAGTCGGTGTCCGGGTGCAAACTCAACACCGTGACCTTGGAGTAGGGCCCTCCGAGGATCCAGTCAATAACGTAATTCAACAGAATGGGCGAAAGGATATAACCCTGTCGAACGCCCGACCGAATACCGGACGGTTGGGAAGGATTGTCGCGGAGCGGGACTCGCACGGTGGTGGAGCGATAATAGGCCTTGGTCATGGCGATGACTCTTGGAGGTACACCATCTAGCGCCATTATCCGCCATAGGGACTCACGATGGACGGAATCGAACGCGGCGGCAAAGTCAACAAAGCAGACGGCCGTCGGTGGCTGGTAGCTATGGCGAAATTCGAGAATGCGCTTCAGTGGAAATATCTGGTCTGCGCATCCACGTCCAGCACGAAATCCGGCTTGGTTGGGCCTCGTCCTACAGTCACGAACAGCCTGGAATCGCCTGAGTAGGATAATAACGAAGATCTTCGCAACAACGTCAATGAGGCTTATGCCACGGTATTCCTCGCATCTTGTCTTATCTCTCTTCGTAAGGATAGGTACAAGGATGCTTGAGCCCCAGTCATGAGAAGCAACCTCGTTTCTCCACGGTTGTTCAATTACCTCGTGGAGCCAGGGCACCAGTGTCGATACAAGACTTGCAGATTTCAGCGGGTATACTGTCCCCTCGGGGTGCCTTGCTGCTGCGTAGCTTTCGTATGGCATCGGGGACCTCTCCCTCAGAAAGGGTGTCGCATGACACCGCAAAAGTTGGAGGAGGAAGAAACTCCGCTGCAAAGGAGAGCAAGGGCGAGGTGGGTTGGGTATTGAAGTTGAGATGGTGCTCGAAGTGCTCACGCCTGCGCTCAACCTTGGTCGAGTTTTCAGCAATAAAGTCGCCATTCACGTTGCGAACAAACTCCCTCAGTGTAGAGGGCTTACCACTAACCTGGCAGATAAGTTGGAAGAGTTTTCGAGTGTCACTAACGTTCGAGGCCTGTTCCATGGAGGTTGTTATTTCAGCCCAATATTGCTTTCAGTCGTCCCTTGCCGACTTTGCCGCCAGCTTCCGAAGTCGGCAGAAGGAATCATCATTACGGCCGTCCGAGAAGATAACTATAGGGTTCTTCCGCTGATCCAGTCACTGCGGCGTCGCCGGGTATATCCAAGGATTTACTCAGCTGCCCATAGACAGACGTTTGAAGTGACGACCACTGGTTACTGCCTATTCCGTCAGCTTCAGTCGTGAAACATAACAGAATTTCTCTGCTAAGGACCTCGGCTGTGTTGGCTTGCCGGATTCTTGTGACATCGAGGCGTCTAGGAGGTGGCATTTTTGCCACGGGCGAGGTGAACTCTCAAGTGTGTACGAACGAAGACATGGTCCGACCCATGGTGGTTACCAGTCTCGGCACCAGGCAACGATCTGCTATCGTGAACCCAGCTGCGGGACCTTGAGATGACTAGTATGTAGTCAATCGGACTGGCCGTATGACCGTCGTTGGAATACCAGGTCAGGAGATGTTTGTTGCGATGCTGGAAGCACGTGTCGGTGGCAAGCATTTGGTTCTGATCGGCGAAGCTCAGTAATCTCTCGCTATTTTCACATCGGGAACAAGCCCAAAGCGGCCAAGAAGGTGACTGTGGAGTCGCCAGCTCCAGTCAGACCATTCAAATCCCCAGCAACAGTCAGCAGATCGCGGCGAGGCAGTCTTTCAATTAACGCCTGCAGCTGCGAGTAAACTGCCTCTCTATCGCGCTGTTCGGCAGCTGAAGTTGGTACTTACCCAGAGACGATGGAGACGTTCGTGAAGTGACCCCTCTGTCGCACGTAGGCCATACGGTCGTTGACTGGTTCCCAAGCCAGTAACACGAGGTCCGCTTGTTGCGAGAGGGCGATAGCCATACCGTGTCTACCGGAAGAGTTGCGCGGGCCGCTGTGATGCAGGGTGAAGTGTGACTCGACTCCAGGGATCTTTACTTCTCGAGAGCCTGAGTCAGGAAGTCGAACTTTGGACAGGCAGCAGACATCAACGTTGTACTGATTAAGGCTGCGCACGGTCAGACTTTGAGTACCGGGCCCAGGAACGTTTGCACATTCCAACATCCAACACCAGGAGTCCGTCCCCGATTGAGTAGTCCAGCTCGCATGCTATTTGCCCGCACCACTGGACCAGGGTTGCGGAACGCGTCGGTTCCCGCGGACGCCGTAGCATGGGTCGTAATACTGTAGTCGGACATAGTTCATGAGGTTTCTTGGAAGTTTCGGATACAGGCGGGTCCCCAACAGCCGCCCAGATTGTTTGTCTGAGGTTGTCTCTTCTGGCGCTTTGGCTTAAAAGCCTAACCACAAGGCGGAGGTAGCGAGCAAACTTATTTCATGGCGGTTTACGGTCGCCATGTCACGATGCCATCATCGGACTTTGCGGCCTTTTTTATAAGACTTTCAGTGTACCAGACCTCAGCCATCCGCACCCCGGTAGCACTGTCGCTGCTGGTCCGCGATAGCTTATTAGTTAGACCTGGGTCTGCTTATCTCGCAGCGAGTCATGACCGTATACGTGGCTGATAAACCACGCAAAGGACTCAAGAGGCTCTATGATTGGGCAAACCTGTGCTTCATGTTCTGCGGTGGTCATGAGGGATTAAAGAAATGAAATGATGGTAAGATCTTCGATCCTAAGGGTGAATTCGGTAGTCCGACTGAAAATGCGGCGGTGACGTGTAGAGCCGCATCTCGTAAAGTACAACACTTTCGTAATTGCATCAACTTGCTTCGAAGCTTCTTCTAACATCGTCATGACAGCCCGAAAACTATAGAGTGAAATTATTACCGACGTATATGAAGCGAAAGCTTCTTACGGCTTTTGCCCGTTTAGTCTGTGAGGAAATCAACTATGGGACAAGGGTCCCAATCCACTAGAAACCAACGGTAAAGGCGTCAGACGGCCTACTTGTGGGGCTCACATTCCCACACTAATAAACAGGAGTCCATCAATTCGGCAATTATGTAGGATGAAAGCTACCGAGCTTGCGGAAGACATATTTTTGTGGGTCCTGATAGGCACACGCATCCGAATTTTGGACAGGGACTCTTAAAAGCATGAGTGCGTGTAAGTTCACCAAAGCTTCTGCACAGCTTTACACAAAAACGTGCTGCGCTAACTGGTAGCAAACCTACCTATATGGGTGAAGTTGTGTACCCATCCAGATCTACGGCGACAGAAAGACTCACATGCATTACGGAGAGTTCTCCCAACATACTGGCAGCGACCAAACTCATGAAATGTTAACCGAAATTCTGAAATGCGTTTTCAATTAGGAGGGATTACTCAAGTGGGGCTGCGGTATTTGTTACCATGCGGTAGAATAATAAGATATTTTAGTCATGCCAGGATACCGCCTTTTGAATGCACTTCTCGACTGCCTGCACAGTAGCATGCTTTTCCCACTGACCTCTGATTTATTTCAGTTTATTTGATAAGGATGATAGGCAAAGCCTCTGAAAACCCTATTGATTACATGTCAGCTCGTTAGAAATAACTACAGTAACAATGAAAATATTCGCTATATAAATAGTACTTGATTCATTTGAGTAGCATTGTCACAGAGAAGGAATATGTCTCCATAGATTCAAATACATTTTGCAGGAAGAATGTACAAAAATATTCTTCCTCATATTCATTTGGCTGCAAACTACGTCTTCAAATTTTATACTCGAAGAAAGGGTATCTTTCGGTCTTGGAAGTCTGTAGTTGTGAAATCCTTCTAGGACTGAAATGTCAGTTCGAGCAGCATCGTGTCTGTCTACTTAATAATACTCCATATGAAATGTCCCGTTTATTATCTTTTTAACTGCACAGAGGAGTGCATGCTTTGTCTTATATGAGAAGTATACAGTCCGTAGACTGAAAACTCTAAGCGCAAATGTAGCAGGAGACAAGTCTCAGAATGACATGTGAATTTTAAACGTTTTAAGCCTAAATGCACCCCTTCTTCGAGTGTAAAACTGGAATACGTAATTAGCCATCAAAGAAGCACATGTGAGGATGTTTTTGATTGTTTTCTATAAAGTATATTTGAATTTATGGGGGAAGGCGTCCGCAAAGAAGTGCACTCAAGAGCCGGCATCCTGATGTGACTGAAATATCCTGGGCTTCTGCCGCACGATAATCAATACTCTACAACCTTGCAAATCGAAAGCATTTAAGAATTTTGGTTAGCGGTCCACATCTGTTGTGTTGGAGTGTAAGGCTAAAGACACCAACGGCGAGGAAAGATTGAAGGAGAAAGAACAAACAATCCTGGTAAAAACTAGCAGCATTAAAGGCTGGTGCCGACTGCCTGGACAGCTTATTCTGGTGAAAAAGTCCCGAGAGCGTTTAGGGCTCCGGCTGACACTTTGGGCGGAGTTCCACGCTAGAGTCAAAGGGACCAGAGAGCAGACAGCTCTTCAGACAAACAAAACAATCGATAACTCGAAGTCCCGCCTGCCTTGGGGACCCTTTTTATGTGTACGGGTCTAAAAATGGGCGCAGCCATTTTCTCGGGAACAGGGCTAATGATATCTTGATTAGTATGATAGACATGAGACAGTAAATCACTCTTGACGGAGACTGATGCCACAGACACGACAAGAATAAATAAGCTGAAACGCAAAGTAAAGACCCTAGACGAATGCCGACATAAGTTAAATAGTCCACCGGAAAAATTGTGTGAGACAGAAAGAGAGCATGATATACCTCGTTAAGCAGAGGCTCCGGAGGAGGTTCATTGCGCAGTTCTTCCTTCGTATATTCATTGTTCACATAGTATCCAACACGGATGAATTCTTGGTCCCTATAGAGAGCTTGGATCAAAACTACAGTGACGCCAACAAGATCCTCGGCTGGAATCTTTTTGGGGTCTGGCGGGTCAACCTAAATACCATAAACTGTAGTCACAAAAACTACCTCAAAAACAAATTGGTGACGGCCGACGGGTACGGGTCCGACCAAAATCAAATCGAGGGTCTGATCCAGTGCTGAGTTGTATGCACTGCCAACGTAAACAACCTTCCACTCAAGGTCTACAGAATGACACAAAGCAAAGACCCACCTTCCTCAAGAGGTTCGTGACATTCAAAAGTAATCTTGAACTTAAACTTGTCGAAGAAAGTGGCAGGGTTATCTAAAACCTCGACGTCACAGATATTCACTTTAGCCATAAGTACAAATCCACACAAAAACGAAACCCCGTCAACAGCCCAAAAACCACAACGGAAAACAAAGCTCGGAGTCTACAGTGGTACAGATAAACAAGCTCGGGCCTTCAGCGTTCTGTAGTCAAGACCGCTCATCTCTTATTCATATGCTCAAATATAAAAGTATGCTTAACAAGGCCCGAAAAAACGAGTGCTTTACAGAAGCCTTTGAGAGATGGTTGAATACCTCCGTAATAGCCCACTCATAGGAGAATTTCCAGAATGCCAACATAAAGAGTTCCGGGAAGGCGAACAACGACTAGTTTTTTTAAGATTCGCTTGAGTCGAATGCTGGCGGACCTGACCGAGTACGACAGATGAACTTGCACCTTTGACGACCAACTAAAACAACCACTCCAGCCATACGTGGAAAAAGAACACCTGAAGCTAGACCACCAAACAGTCGTTCATATATTAGAACTCGGAATTGCTAAAAATTTTGCTAGAAAATAAAGCTTCCTTTTGGAATTCTGATGAGCCATTTTGGCAGATTTGTAACGGGTAGCCACCATTACCTGTCTGACGTCATTGTTTAAGACCCCGCTGCCCCAAGATCATTCACCCTTTGCAGTGAGCCGTTTCAGACGAACTGGCCCGATGCCATTAACCGACAAATCGGGCGCACTTGCGTCCGCTCAGCCGCAGATTTCTATGGGGCCACTTGAGCTCACCTTCCCCTGGTTACCACAACG